ATTTATATTATTATAAAGATTAGGAATAAGTTTATAGAACCTAGAAATGAATTTGTTGGAGGTCGTCCCATTTCTCAGGTCAGAATTTGATCCGCGTGTAATGCAATACGCGCATGTGCTCGAATAATACCTAACCGTGGCGCGCAGTGAAAGACCGCGAGAGTGGTCTTTCAGGATTTCGCAATCAGTCGGCCAAGAGCCGTCGTTCGACGAACATGCGATTTCTTTTTTAAAAGAACACGCAAGAAACAACGCGTTGCGAAGTAACGTGTTTTTCCTCCACCTAACCAACGAACCAACCAACCGACCAACGTGATTTATTGTCCGTTCGCAAACAACATTTTAACGACCATTTTGTTTATTCCAATTCGTATCAACCGTAGCAACGACGATGTGTGTTTAAATAAAAAAAAAAAAAAAAGAAAAAAAGGGCAAAAAAACTAAACCCTCTGTCCCTCGTAGTTGACAGAGTAATCGTCCGACGAAATTAAAAGGGGAAAAAACAAAAAAAAAAACAAACAAAAGGCATAAAGAAAATACTTTTGAAAAGAGGGATGATCGTACGTGTCAAAAGGTTTTAGAAAAAATCAAATACTCGACGAATGGTTTATTACGAACAAAACAAAAAACAAATCAAATAACGCGGTACAAAGCAACGTGTGTTCGAAAGAAAAAAAAACGCGTTCGCGTAAAAACTTCAAAGCCAAACTAGATCATTATTTCGCGAGACGTTTGGACAAATTCTTTAGAAAATAGAAGCAAAAAAGTACGGGATTACCTGAAGGGGTTATTTTCTTTCTGTTGTTATTTTTTTTTTTTTTCAATTGATACAACTCTCGATACTATACGATTCGTTAGTTGTTAAGAAACTGATCGAAATAAACTTGTTAGCTTTTATCCGAGGAGATACTTCGAAGAATACTTGATAAGAATTTTAATCGAATAAGAAATAATTTTTTTTGTCAAGGTTTTTGAAAATGTTTCAAGGTTTCGTGATTAATCACACCTTATAGGTGTGTAATAAGAAAGAAAAAAAATTATACAAGTATCATCATTCGTACGGCATAGTATCTTCGCGGTTGTTCAAATTTCCAAAAGAAAAAAAAAGGAGAGAGAGAGAAAGAAATAATAGAAACGTGACTAGATTTTATTAAAGGGTAGATTCTGTGTGTATACAGGGACAACCCTTCGTACTTGACTATATTGACCACCCCAAACGAACGTGTACGACCGATTTACCTCGTGGCTCGACTAAAATTATCGCCAGTAACACACGCACGCACGCATGCATTTGGTGCCTGTTGTTAATCGAATATGAACAATAATCGTATTAGATGGCATACTATATCGAAACTGGATTACGATTACGACGATTTTAATTGAATAATAATAATAATAATAATATCGATCGAATGAGATTATCGATAACAACGTATTGTCGATAATCATTAATTCAATTCTCACAAATTCAATTTATATATACATATACATATATATATATATACGTAGAATAATTAATACTATCTGACAAAATACCAAACAAAAAAGAGAGAAAGAAAAATGAAAGAGAAAGGAAGAAAAAAAGGAATAATGATTTATAATACGTGTTAATGTACTCCCCGAGTTTCCCCGAGTGTAAAAGAAGGGTATTATACCTAACAGATGTTCACCTTTAAATGGAAATGGATCAGCATTAGTTACTCGCGACCTTAATACGAATCAGGATCAATTTTCGTGCGTTTTAGGTGTTCAAACGTTAAGAAATTCTAAACTGTGAGATATAAGTGAATTTTTATTTAAAATGATCAACGTTAATTCTAATTTAATGTTTGTCAACTATCAACAACAACAACAACAACAACAACAACAACTCGAAGTTTTCCAGTAAAAACGTGTGGATTTCGTGCTTCATTAATAAAACATTTAGGTACGTTGATTAATTTTAAAAAAAAATAATGCAACGAATGATCATAATTTGTTTTGTTTTACTATAAAATTCTGACACTAAGGAGAATTACCAGGATGATATAAATCTTTTCAATACAATGAAAAGTTAAAAAGCGTACAAAAGTGATTTTCTCAAGTAGATATATTTATCTATTTGATGATTCGGAAGAAAATGCTTTTACGAACACTCGTAATTTGACACACGCGTTTAATGCAATTCCGATGATAGGCATTTTTTCTTTTTATTTCTTTTTTTTTTTTGTTCTCGGCCAACACATATCGGATTTCGATACCCGATTTCATTCGCGAGTCACCTAGCCAAATGGTCCAAACGGGAAAGTACATTTCGCTTTTTCTTCTTACTTTTATTTTTTCCCCTTTCTTTGTTACTTCCTTTCTTTCTTTCTACCTTTCGTTTTTTCTTTTTGCCTTTTTTCCTTCCGCTCTCCAATCTCGCGTCGTCGTCCTTCGACGATCGATCGAAAACGTTGTGTGTACGGCCGTTATAAGGACGAATAACTTACGCTCCTGGTTTACCATTTCTTTTTCATTTCGTACGTATCAACGTTTTATCGCTGATAAGACGTCAACAACGAGCGCTTTTTTCTTTTCTTTTTTTCTTTTTTAACGAGCAAAGATAAATTTCAACGAATATCACAACGGTTTAATAACCCATTCGTTTTTCTATGAACGCATATATGCGTTTGGTAAAAGTAGCCAACTTGATCAATAAACGCATATATATGTTTGTCAATATTTATGCAAATAATGTATTGTTCCGTTGTGTATTGATTATTGTTTCGAATCTTGTCACTCACTTTAAATATTAAATATAATTAATTACTAGAATATGGGGTTATAATAATATCAGTCACTATAAAACACTTCAGTTAAGAAAAGTATTCATATTAAATATCATTTATTATTAGAATCTAGTTATAATAATGTCAGTTATTAGAAAACACTTCAGTTCAAAGTATTTATATTAAATATAATTAATTACTATAATCTGGGGTTATAATAATATCAGTTACTAKAAAACACTTCAGTTCAAAGTATTCATATTAAATATAATTAATTACTATAATCTGGGGTTATAATATTATCAGTTACTAGAAAACACTTCAGTTCAAAGTATTCATATTAAATATAATTAATTACTAGAATCTGGGGTTATAATAATATCAGTCACTAGAAAACACTTCAGTTCAAAGTATTTATATTAGATATCATTTATTATTAGAATCTGGTTATAATAATATCAGTTACTAGAAAATACTTCAGTTAAAAGTATTCAGTACTCTCAAAGAGTTAATGCAAGCAAATAGAAGACCTCCGTTTTCTGTGGAAAGAATAAAAATAAAAGAAAACAGAAAAAAGAAAAAAGAAATAAAATAAATTCTCTTGTCACACACTTGAAATATTAAATATAATTTATTATTAGAATCTGTGTGTGGTTAATAATAATATCAGTCACTAAAAAAAAAACACTTGAGTTAAAAGTATTCATATTAAATATAATTTATTATTAAAATCTGGTTATAATAATATTAATCACTAGAAAACACTTTAGTTAAAAGTATTCATTACTCTCAAAGATTTAATGCAAGCAAATAGATGATCCGTTTTATGTGGAAAGAATAAAAATAAAAGGAAACAGAAAAACAATAAACAATAAATAAGATGAATTTTATTTGTTTCGATTTATTGAGCACCTAAACGTTAACTTATTTTATTGAAATAACGAAGTAAAGAGTAAACGGATATATTTCCTCACGGGTAAAATTCTATCTGAAATTGATAACAACGAGGTCAACGGGTTAACGAGACGAGAAACTTGAACCTTTCAAGAATTCAGTGTTTTTACTTGCGGATATCGTTCCCGTTAGGATATATCTATATATACACGAAATAAAGAGAAAGAGAAAAAGAAATAGAATGGGAAGGAAAAGGGGAAGGGGAAAATCAAGAAACGTAAAAAGATTGGTCGGAATTAAAATTCCTGACAATAATCCTTTTCTTTACTTTTCTCAACAATCTTAACGCGAGGTAAAGTAACACGAAGGAAAAAAGAAAAAAAAAACAAAGTATTTAAAATCTAGTCTTGTTTAAACGTTTAAATTTCACGTTGGAAATGTTAATCTCTTTCTTTAGAGATAAAAAAAGAGAGAAGGAAGAAGAAACAAAGGAGACAAAAATAGAAAATATGTTCTAAAAGAGTTAAATGAAAAACATACAAAATTCGCTTTTAAGGAAATTGTTTACCTAAAAACAACAAATATTGAACTAACGTATCGATTTATCAGAGAAGAAGAAGAAGAAAAAAAAAAGAAAAAGAAGAAGAAAGGTTGGCCTCGTTTCTTTTTTCTTTTTTATCCACGTGTGATGAGTCGCCCTTATCGTCTCAACGACCAATCAAAATCCCAGTAAGTAGTATCTCTCTTTCTCTCTCTTACGTTCCTGTGACCTTCTTCAATTTCTACCTACCTACCTACCTACCTACCTATCTAAGGCTGATTACCCTTAACTACGATTCTCATTTTTTTTATGACAAAACTAAAATACGAGATTTTTTGATGATACAAATTAAAATAACAATAACATAATGTAATAAATATTCAAATAAAATATTATAATAATTAAACGAAACGATATATGATATCGAGATGTGTGTGTGCCACGGTTAATAATTAATTTTTTTTTTTATTTTCACATGTAAAATATAAATTTATGATGAGAACGAGAGAGTTGAACGAATAGAAATGTCGTTAATTATATCGTAAAAAAAAATAAATGTACGTCCTCCCCAACCTCACTCCACCCCCCACCCTCCCCCTGGTCGGGTAATTATATATAAATAATTATAAATGAGATCACACTAAATATAATATTATACGAAATAAATGTTAGATCTAATTTTTTTTTTTCCTGCGAATTAATTTTTTTAATTAACGTCTGTACTTACATTAGTATAAAAAAAATAACGACGACGACGTTAAAATATCGTTCCATTATATCTAGCAATAGCTAGCTGAGAAAATACGAGAATATAATCGTCGCCGCACGACACTATTTTTAAAAGCTCACTCTTTCTTATCTTCATTTACCATAAAAGGAAAGTGTTGCTTGCTCGTGTATCGTTGTTGTTTTTTTTTATAATAATTTGCGTTAGTTTCGTTTTTATATTCTGTACATTATCGTTATTCGCGAGTAAATAAAAACTAATTAAATTTAATTTGTCGTCAAAGCGTATGACAATTATAACGATTCGTTTAATTTTTTTTTGTTTTTGTGTTTTTTTATTTTAGTTTATAATTAAATAGAACGTCAAAAGATAAATAACAATGAATTACATTTTAATAAGATATTAATTTAATAGAATTTAATAACAGATTTGATTAATTTATTAATGAGAATTTAATTACTGATATTAAATAAGTATTTTAATGCAGTATTGATATTTTGTTTATCATTATACTTTGATTGTTGAAACAACAGTAATATCAACAATTGAAGTCAAATAAAATTAGAAAATGATACTCGTTAATTTAGTTTTCGAACAATTCTACGACTCTGCTTTATTCTCTCTCTCTCTTTCTCTATTTTTTTCTGTAATTTTAGAGATACTCGAACGTATATCAACGCCGTGTGAATCAACCGTATCAATTAATTCGTGTAAAAGCAACCGAATCATGATTATTTCGAGTTAACAAAGTGGCAATGATTCGTCAATGAAAAAAAAGGGGAAGGATTTGGATGTCAACAAGAATGATTTGTTATCGGAAAATCCAAATTTCGATTTATTTTCTTTCCCTCTCTTTCTTCCTTTATCTTTTTTTTTCTTTTCTTTTGAATAATGGGTAATAGAGGGATGGAAAAGTAAATGAAAATAACAAAATGAAAGATCACATTGATTTTTCTACCCATGGAGCCTATATACAAAGAAGACGATAGCAATGTTATAAATATGGCTACGATATACACAATGAGAAGATGATTTCTATTAACACTAGAGTGCGCGTCGATTCGTTGGATCTGATTTTTCAAATATGAATAAACCTAACCTTTAATTTAGGAAAAAAATAGACAAATAAGTCGACGAAGTAAATAAAAAATTATAAACTAAAGAAAATGTGGAATAATTGGTTATGATATCACAAAGTCAAGAAAATATAACAATAGCATGAAAAAAATGTTGATAAATCATGTTATATATCTGTAAAAAAAATTGTCAAATGGAATCAACTTATCTTTAAATCAATTAGTATAAAAATGAATAATACTGCATGTAAAATGTAATTGCCAGTAACCTTAGACAGTTAACCTCAAAATCAACAATATAAAATAACCTGTTGAGCTGTAAAAAAATTAATCCTAATCCTTGAATTAATCCTTAATTAAATTAAGGCTTCGTGAATTAAAACAAACACATCAAAGAGAACTATTTGTTTCATTTGTTTATTTATAAAATCATACGTACTTAAATCTGAACTTACGAACACCAGCGCCGCCCTCGTGGAGAATTATCGTACTCGGTATTTCATTATTTTCAACAGCACAAAATTCCACGAAAATTCGTATCTCGATCGTCCTCCTTGTATAGAGCTTCGTTTTTCTACCATTCGTATAGAGAAGATTCTAACGAACAAAAAAATTTCGGTAAAAAGGGGGGTGTTGTCAACATGTTCCTGTTCGAAGAAAAAAAGAAAAAAAAGAATAAAGAGAAGACGTTTAGGGTTAATTTTTGTGCACTACTTACCAACCTACTAATCCACCACCTCCCCCCCCCATCCCACCCCGCCAGTATCTTTTTCCGTTAAAACTCTGACACGATATTGCTTTCGAAAAGGGTTTGGTTTCTTTTGTATCGTAGAAATAAGTAACAAAAGAATAAAAATACCAGGAGCAACCGTAAGATGCTTATAATATAGGAGGAATTCTCAATTGAGTACTCGCGTGATGCGAATAAAGAGTTGATAC